CAAAACAACCTCACAATCCCAAAATACCCCTACTCTTGCGGTTGAAATTCAAAGCCATTCTTTGACCCAAACTCATTCTTATATAGTATAAGGATTTGGTATGTACAACTACATTTATTGCATTTGGCCGAATAAGAAGTTCTTGTTGTACATTTACTCTTTATGAATTTGACAGAGTTCATGGCTTGTTTAATATTTAAAAAGTGGAAGCATCCTATTGTTTTTTTCAAAAAATGTGTAATGCACTTTTCTTATATCTTTAAAAAAAAATTAGACTACTTTAAGCCGCTGAGTTAAATCTGATTGTTTATAGCTGATAGATGCAGTTAATGGTTAGGCAATTCAAGACAAGACTATAGTTCGAGTTGGATAACTAACTTTATTTTAGTAGCTTTCCAACATCTAAATTTATCTATGTGGATTATCTAGTGATTATTTATGTTGTTTCCTGAAGGTACTGCTTTCTTATAGTTATCTCTGATCTTAGAATTTGACCCATATAATGCTCGTTGCTGGCCCTAATAATCGATATGATGAACCATCAAAATTCCTAGATAAGTGCAGGGCCAATAATCAAATTCTACTTTCTCACAAGGTAAATTTGATTGCACACTACAAGCCATGAGGATCTAATTAGTGATGGTGGCCTTATTTAAGCACTACTGTAAAAGATATTATTCTATGCTACCCTACTCCCGTAAAGTCTACACTCTGCATTGCCGAGTTTCAGGTTGCAGCTGATGCCTGGGGGGATTTGAACTTATATGTCCTTGTCTACTTCGTATGATGGCCCCTACTGACTCCACTTTGTAGAGGTTTCACTATCTCTAGGAGAAAAAGGCCATATTAGTTTTGATCACCCAACCACTTGATATGTTTAATGTACTTCATCCATTTATTTCCGTCTCTGTGTACAGTACTTGTGATCGTAGCAACAGGGACCTAGTGAAGGACGGGGCTAAATTTAATACTCACAAATTATATGAGAAAGTTCAGGATTCTGATCCTGCTAACAACCTTTTGAAACATGGGGAAATCTTGGAAAGGGTCAATATTGCTGGGCTAAAAATGACCAATGAGAAATGGCTATCATTTGTAAGCAAAAGCCTGCGTGACACACAGAGGGTACTCAAAGATGAAAAATATAAGCATTTTAAAAGGAAGAAGTGGAATGAACTAGAATTGCTAATGTAGTTAGCTCATTTCTGTAAGCGAATTTTATGTTTTCTAATACATGAGTATCGTAGGATAGAAGACAAATGCTGATTAAGAACTTTGGCAATCTTTAGGACTTCTCTTTTCTAGAATTATTTTGCTACTTTATGTGTTTCAACAATCAAATAAAACCATAATATTGAAAGTTGAATTTGTAGAGATAGCGGCATCCAAATGATTTAGGCATACAATCCAAGTGAGCATATATTATTTCCTTTCCGTCTTCATCCTTCGCCAACTAAATGAGCTAGCATGGTTGAACTAAATGCGCTAGCATAGTTGATTGTTGTTAGTTTAGTTTTTTGGGCTCAAGGATTCAAGAATGCCAAAGGGATAAACAGATTTGGGGCTCTTGCATCGGGTAGATAGTTTGTATTGTTGTTCTAAATACGAGTGTAACGGTGAGAAGTGCAAAAATCATGGTTGTATTTGAGTTATTATCTGTATAAATTGCTAAAAGGATGGTATAGTAGTAAAACATAACTATTTCGAGTTGGGGGTTGAGCTACTAAAACATATTAAGTGCTTAAGATGTTATTCATGGCATCCTTAATTATATCTCTATACTATCAATTACATTACACTAAACAAGTAATGCACATCATTAAAAGGAATTAAAAAAAAAAAGAGTACTATACTTAATTCTTTTTCAAATAATTGCATACCACATGGTATATCACTTAGTAGCATGGAGAAGGTTTTGCTGAATGAGGATGAGGCAAACTTTGTGAGGGAATGACCTTTGCGAGAATGAACCCTCATTCAAGAAATTTTGGCCATCCTTAAACGATGTATAATTGTAAACTAGTGCACTAGGGCGGACTTTTGTGTACGAAGATATTTAGTAATCTATAACTCATAAATGATGTTCTTCCGTAGTTTATAGGCCTTGGTGCTTTATAGAGTTAACTAAACACTTTAAACTGCCCCATGGAAAGTTGTGATGTGTGAACAAGAAAATTGTAGTAGTAGTGGTAATAATAATAATAGTGATAATACTTAAATGCCCCAAAAGTCGTTAAATACTTAAATGCCCCAACAGTAATAATGAATTGGAAGAAGCGGGAGATCTATTAAACGCTCTAGATCAACTGCCTTTCTAGAATTCAAATTTAGCTAGGATAACATTAAGAAAAGCATAGCAAACTAGTGTATGATGTGAAACTACTGTGTAAGAACTCAAGGAAAGGCAAGAAAGAGATACATTCCTCGGTATATTTAAATCAATTCCAGTGTCGGTTATGAACACAAATATTGAAAATAAGAAGAAAATCAGGGTGATTGTGATGGAGACTCTACTTGCTACTAAGATCCGTTCCCTTACGGGTAACCTTGCAAAGAACAAAAATTGTTATTTTTGAATCAGAACAACTTTATTATATATGCAAATTTTAATAGGGTAAATTCAGGAGTAAATTGCCCCATGAAAAGTTATAATGTGGAAAGTTTGCTAATTTTGTGCCTGAACTTTTACACTAAAACCAATTTCATCTTTAATGACATTTTTTAACCAATTTAGTCCACGAATTATATATTTTTTGTTCCAGTGTAAGCCTTCTATGGTGGTGCCACCACATTTTATCTCCTTTACGCAACTAGCTAGGGGTACTTTGGCCAAAGAAAGGTTAGATTCTACAATGTAAGAAATATGAGTCAATTCCTGAGTACAAATGAAGAAAAATAAGAACATTCAACTAAGTTGGGGTGAAAACCCAATATTTCATTAAAGTGGGGTGAAAAATCAAAATTTACAAATGCAAAACCACCAAATCACGCACTACTTCTTCTGGGTTTCATCGCTAACCTTCTCGTTCTTCTTATGCACATAATCATATCCACAAAACCCTTTAATTCCTGTGCACGGGAAGGTTAAATTGGCGCTCTAGTAAAACTATGTCATCTTTATTCTCCAATTTTTGAACCCCAACTCCATAACCATTCTTCAACTTCACTGAAATTCTCTCCAAATTTCTCCTATCGAAAAAAAAATGACGACAAATAACAGAAGGCAAATTTGAAAGAAGAAAATGTGGATAATAGGATATGGGGCACATCAACGCTAACTGGAGCAGATTGACCACTTCTATTATGTGAGAAATACCGAACTTTTGTTTGAATTAGAACATTTTGCCTGGGTTGAATTATGCACAATTCCTCAGAAGAAGAGTATGTATATTAATGTCTGCCAACTGCTTGTGAAAAGACCAGAATGCAAAATTGATAACGAAAATGAATCTGAGGTTATTTGTTAGTGACGTGCTTGCACAAGCAGGGAAACCGTCGTCCATTGTCAATTTTGCAGCTGACAGAAACTATCACTCGAGTGGGTTTTAAGAAAAATAAATATATTTTCCTTTAAAATCTATGTTCCTTTATTTCTTGTTGTTTTGGATTTTGAACGGCACCTGTACATGTATGTTGTTCTTGCGTGCTTGGATGTGAGAGAGTGGACTGGTCGGAATCGGAGATCAGAAGGGAAAGGAGGCACAGTTGCAGTGGTGTCTAATTTTGGAGAAGATCGTAATTTCAATTTTTCACCCCAATTTAATGAGGCTTTGGTTTTCCTCCCCATCTTAGTTGAATATTTTTATTTTCCTTCATTTTTGTATAGGAGTTCACTCGTAGTTCCTATATTACCACGATTTTTGTGTCGGTAATAGGGGTGAGCAAAAAGATCCGAAAACCCGAAGATTCGAGAGACTCGATCCGACCTGCATCGAAAAATAGGATATCCAATTGGATTTCTATCAACAGATCAGATAAAGATCGAGTACCCATAATATTTAGATACGGATACGGAGCATAAAAATAAAAACTCGCGGGTACTCGACTCGGGGGTATATTATATAAATATTTAAAAATATAGGGGATAATTTTATAATATTTTTAAATTATTAACCCTAACCTAAATGAATCCATCGGACATCAATCATTCAATTGAAACTTCACTACTTCAGCCGACACTTAGTCGTTTCATCCCCAGCTCGACAACTCCTTTCTCCTTCTCTTCAATTTTGTTTTATGTTGAACTCAAAGAAAGCTGCAAAAGAGAGAGATCGATCCTGATTTTTCCATCAACGATGATGTTTCTGATGTCACCGTCAAGGCAGGATCAACTGAAACCATCGAGATACCTGCGCCAAAGGTAAATGAGCGAGCATCTCATGGATTTAGTCCATCCTTAATTTCTGTATTTTCACATTGCATAGCTGCAGTGACCTAAAATGCTTCTACTTTTATTGGAAACAAAGGCCGGAAGCACTTTGGTGTGGGTCCTGATTGTGATAGGTTGGGAGGTAAATTACAAAGAGGAATTTGTTCTAATGTGCAATTAGGCATGGCTCTTATACAGTTCACATGGCATCCAGAGTAGTAAAAAGCCTTTAGCATTTCTTTAGTAAAAAAAGCTGAATAATAATCATTGCTGGATAAATTGCTGATGTTATGTTATGTTCAAGTGGTTAACCTTCTCCTTTTTCTTGGGATGTTCAAGTGGTTCAAGATGAAATGACCTGCATTTGTATGTGCAGTTTATTGCTATCCGTTTGTGTTCTGTAGATATTAAATCCAAAATTAGCTAAAGGCCAACAGCATTGTCAATTAAAACCCACCCCTATTTTTCGGATATCGGAGGATCAAGTACCCGATGACAAGCGGAGCAGATTAGGATAAAAAAATAGTGATCCGACATATTATTAGAGTCGGATCAACTATTTGCCGTTCAGAGCGGGTAGCCGCTGCAAAAGGATTTTGATTGAACAACAAATTAAACTTGAACGACCACATTGGTCAAAAAAATAAATCATAAAGGATGAAATTGATTTTAATATAAAAGTTCAGGGATGAAAATGGTGAATAAGGCTGATATCTAATACATGCCAAAGATTAGCTATTTCTTCTTGCCTTTAATTCACCTCAGATAAGAAAACATCTCATCTAGATCGGTTAACACTACGGAAACGGTTTAACAATCAAGGAGAAGGCAATGAAGACACAAGATACATTCCTCGCTACATTCATATTAATTCTATTATTTGTCGAGAACATAAAAAATTTGTAACAAGAAGAAAATCAAGTGATTGTGATGAGACTCTGCTTGCCAGTAACGTCCTTCCTTGTGCCAGTGACCCTGCAAAGAGGGGGGAAAATTTTGATGTTACATGCTTTACTGGCCCTTCAAAAACTTCTACTCTAAGATGTCAAAAGACCTTGAGTTAACTGCGAATTTGGATATCATAACATTTGGACCTATGTATGATAGCATATCTCAATCCAAAAACACACACAAAAGGGGAAAAGAGAGAGACAGAGAGAGAGAGAGAGAGAGAGAGAGAGAGAGAGAGAGATAGATTTGAATAAAAGATTTACACATATTCTCACTGATCACAATTCTCCTGACTTGGCAATCATGCAGCAGATTAGACAAGCTCTAAAACGAGGGCTGAAGCACCTCCTCCCCCATTGCAAACACCTCCAACTCCATATTTACCATTTTTCTGCTTCAGAACCTGTAACCATCAGAACTCAAATGAGCTTCTCAAACTAGAAAAATATTCTCGTTTAGTTAGATGGCTAAAGTCACATAGTATCATCAAATCTAAAACACATAGGTTTCAATGTAAAAACTGCCTCCCACTTGACACATCATGTAAACCAACCACTTTTCTGCCAGTTCAAGGACCAAGGATGATTGAATCACTCAACTATTTCTTTTATGAATCGAACTTTTTTGAGCCCCATGCTTCGAAATTTAATCAAGTTCCATTAGAAACTAACAAGCCACTGTTTATGGTAACATACCCCCAAGAGTGTGACCAAGATACGAGCTCCACTGCATCCTAGAGGATGCCCCAATGATACGGCTCCACCATGTACATTGACTTTTTCCTGCCCAATTTAAAAAGAAAAAAAAAGAGCAATATAAATAACCACATATGGACAATCTTATTGCCAATAGGATTTGATGGTCAACATATCACCTAAAGGTTATCAGAAACAGAAGCAACGCATCCCACATGTCTCAAGCATTTTGTGAAAATATCGCTGATCTATCTAAGTTTAACAGAATCCTTGTATGTTTTCAATATGAAAATATCACTAACCATCTCAAGCTAAGGCCAACAAGGGAAAACTAAAGATCAGAGATGGAAAAGGGACACATAACGAAGAAAACGAATGACAGCAGTTCCCATATTTGGTGCTTTCTCAATGAGTTAGGAAGCTCATCCTATAACTTCATGATAACATTCTAAAAAACTTAAATTAGGATTTTGTGACTTAAAAAGCGTCTTCTTAAGTACTTTAGTGATTTGACCATTTTGAAGTTGAAGATTATGATGATAAATGCAGTATACAGAAGAGAAACCAGAAAAAAAAAAAAAATTGTAAAACATGTTAGTACAAAAACATACACATGTATGAAAACAGCATGTGCAATCTTGTTCTGACAGTTGAAATTCACATTCCATTCACTTGACAAGTATATTACATAAGGAAAAAGCTTCATAATGGAAACACCCAACAAATATGCAAGCATCATTGCAGTGACATCAGAACAGAAAAATGAAAGCCACAGGCATGAAAGCCCAAAAACTTACAGGATTAAGCCCAAGAAGCTTTTGATTTGCAAGAGCCACAACCTGCATGCCAAATAACAAGCTTATCATTGGCATTTATTGATAAATTAGATGCTTAGAAATTGAAAAAAGGTAACAAGCATACCGCAAAGGCTTCATTAATCTCATAGTAATCAATCTTAGAAGCATCTAAGCCAGCATTTGAAATAGCTTTTGGGATTGCAAGTGCAGGTGCAGTTGTAAATAAATCTGGTGCCTGTAAAAGTGCAATCCATTAGATTATAAAAAAAAAACTTTTTCAAGCACCTTAAATGACATGATGTTATGCAGAGACGGAACTGACAGAGAGAGAGAGAGAGGGTAGGAATTCATGATAAAACCTGCTATTGCACTTCAAATACCAGAAATAATATGACACGTAAAGTGAGAGAAACATGCTGAAAGTGATCTGGATAATTTTAATACTTTCAATAGCAAAACATATTGTAAGTAAAGGCTCATTTATCTCCTGAAATTGGATAGATTCTAACACATAAGTTTATGCTGTACCTGAGCTGCATCAGCATATCCTGTGATTTTTGCAATCACTTGTAGCCCAAGCTCAACGGCCTTCTTTCCACTGACTAAGACTAAAGCAGCTGCACCATCACTGAAAGAGAAAAGCACAAGTTGCTAAAAGACTTAAAGATGATTTTCAAGTTGTTATACCATCAACAAGAAACGTAAATATCCTGAACAATATTTCCAATAAACAATTCTGGTACGTCAAGCATATCTAGCTTAACACATGTGAAACCAAGAGACCTGATTCTCTACTTCTCTCAGTAAAATCGAATACATTTACCAGTCAATCCAATATATCTTTAGCCAGTAGCAGGGGAGATTACTACTTTTACCATCAGTGAGATCCTACAGATTGAGTTATACTAAATCACCAGACAATCTTAGATTGCACCAAGCATGATTACTGTAAATAACATGAAGTACGACAAAAGGGGGGCAAACCAATAACAAACCTTATGCTGGAAGCATTGCCAGCTGTAACACTACCACCAGTTTCCTTGAAACTTGGACGGAGCTTCCTCAACTTTGCAGCATCAAACTGGCAGGAGAGAGTAATTGGTGACATATTAGTATCCTAAAAGCAATTATGTAGGTAAGAAGTATTTTTATGCATCACCATATGTATATTAATACACCAAACAATATTTGTTAAATTTCTGTTAACTGACTACATCATTTACATCCTTGATCCCCATAATTATCCTTCCTCTTGTAATATGTGCTATTACTTTTCTGTCCCCAGACTATGCTACGGACAGCAACTTAATATGGATGAAACAAAAAATCATTCATTTTTGCAAACTGACAGCACCCATAGTTTAAATACTCATTACAGCACCCATAGTTTAAATACTCATTATATCTGTTTCGTCATTTTCATGGTTTTCTTGTTTTAGACCACATGGATGAATTGGTCACTAAGAAGCAACTTCAGGAAAGAAACATGCATGAACAGGGAAGCTTTATCTGTAAACCCTATGCATGCATATGAAATGGAAGACAATATAGTCACCTTTCCTAGACCTTCATCTTTATCAACAACAGTTGAAGGCCTTCCTCTTCCACCAGACACTTCGACCTGCCATACCGGGTTACAGGTTTATTCCCTTCAGCAAGAAAGGCCATAAAAAGCAAGTAATTAAAGTTCAAAGATCTTACTGGCGCAATCTCCCATGAGAAGGCACCACTAGTTTGGGCAGCAATGCCACGCTCAAAGCTTTGAACTGCGTAATCATCCTGAACAAATGTATTATAAGATACAACACTACCTAGAAAGGGTGGGAAGGACAAGATACTGAAAGGGAACAAAACGATAGATAGAAAGAGGTAACATATCCATGTTTTTGTACATCAACTGCTTATAATGCTTTTCATAAAGTAAACAGAACATGTACACCATTGTGTATCCATATCATCAATAGAAATAAACCTGCTCCTCTCTAGTTATGCTATGATTTTCAGCACATAATTCAGCACAAACTCCCATGCCATAATCATTGTATACATCCCACAGTCCATCTTTCATCATTCCATCAACAAGCGTGTCATGTCCAAGTCGAGACCCCTTCCTGCAAATAGGTCAACAATCAATACATGTTCTGATATCATCAATTTGTAGAAACAGCTTGTGGGCTTATCATCTGCCAAGATTAAAACTACTACTATCACTCCTGGAACAGATCTAAAGTGTCCAGCAAAATTATCAAGATAATGGGTTATTTTAGCATGATATAAATAGAAGAGGATAAGAAGTTCAAATACCAACCCACAGAAAACTATTAACAGCTAATCTAAGTAGTATGGTATTACAAATGCTGCCTAAGAAGTTTAGGGTCGCAAACTTAAGTTATCTTTCTAAGAGGCTAAGGAAAACAGGGAAGAAATATATGTGTAAGGTTAATGTCTTTAGCATCTTTGTTAGCATTAATATTAACAGATCAAAGTTGACAGAAACACATGATTTTCAATACTCCTGAAGTTTCCTTATATGTCAAATGCATGACAAAATACTCATAAAAATCCCTGTTATCAGATAAAAGCAAATGTAAGGTGGTCAAAATTTACCAACCTCCATGTTTTGCCCTCATACTCAAACCCAATTACCCAATTTTAATTTAAAAAAAAAAAGGAAAAGAAAAGGAAATACAGCAAGAGCAACACTAATAGCTACAGCAGCATATGAGGTTGATAGTTCCTTCCTTAAGGCAGCAATATCGTAGGGACAGAATTATACCAAAGGATATCAATTTTGTTTTTCACAGGATAATTACAATATTATTTCTTCATAAAAGAAAGGTCTTAATTATGAGTCAAAGGAATTTGAACACCACCATGTCATGGATTTTCAGAATGGTAGCCAGACCATTAGTCACTAATCATAATTCAAAAAAAAATAATAGGTAGCCAAGCTCCACTCAAAACAGGATAAAATGGTGAGTATTGCTGTAGTGATGAATGCTCACCTTGCTTCTCCCAGGTACTTGGGGACATTGGACATGCTTTCCATGCCACCAGCTACAACAACGTCATTAATACCCAACTGAATACTCTGTGCAGCAAGCATAGTTGCTGCAATGAGGAAAAAAGGTTAAAATCATATACATGCCAACTGTGACTTTTAATGGTCAAGAAAGAGGGCTTTATAAGGGAAATTAACCATGGTTGACTATGTGGATTTCAGACCTTTCATTCCAGAGGCACAAACTTTGTTAATCGTCGTACAAATCACTGTATTGGGTATTCCTGCACCCAATGCTGCTTGCCTGGCAGGAGCCTGACCCAAATTTGCACTGAGCACATTTCCGAAGTAAACTTCTTGTACAAGTGAAGGATCAACATTAGCTCCTTTAAGAGCACCTAAAGTTTGGACCCAAATAAAGAGAATTATTATGATTACAAGCACAACTTTGAAGCCAAAAAATATATAACTGCACCATAAAAAACGAAATAACTAAAATCTTACGCTCAATAGCTATAGATCCAAGCTTTGTTGCTGGTATTGATGAAAGTGAGCCAAGAAAACCACCCATTGGGGTACGGGCTACGCCAACGATGCATACATCTATCAAAATTTTAAAATGCCAAGGTTTAGCGCAAAAGCAAATATTGGAACTTACGAAATGACTTTAGTAACAAAAAGATTAACTCCTATGACCCGGGGATCCATGGAGCAAAGGATTTACCCCACTCCCCAGATTAAGTAGAACTAATGAAATCCAAAGGAACTCAATGCAGCTGGTTTTTTCCTATAAAATGACTACTACATCGAAATATACATAGAATTCAGAAAATTCCCATTCCAATGTCAAATACAAAATTTAGAACACTCGGAAAAATAATTTTCCTCCTTTCCACCCAGGCTTAAAACAAATAAACCTTTTTACACTTATATAAACAAGAATTCCTACAAACCCTCCAGTCAAGATGAAAGATTGCAACAGGAAATTATAGTCCCAAGATATATTCACTAAAGAAATAAGTATACCAGTAGGCTTTATTGAGTTATCTGATGCTGCCGGGGCCATGCTACAAGCTTATATTGCAACCAAATACAACCTGATCAATTTAAATTCAAACAAAACATTACTCATTAGTTCGCAATCTTTCGCAGCGAAAGGAAAGAAAAAACCACGTCACACAGAATCTAATCAAACCATCTTTGGACCTCTGATCCAACGTGAGAAATTGATTCCGCAAATTTGCTAAACAACAAACATGTATAAAAACATAAAACAAAAGCAAGTGATATTGGACGACAATTGGATCTAATCAACTCTTTATTACTAAATTTCAAGAATTCAAACCCCATTAGCAGATAAAGAAACGAAAACTGATCTGCAGACAGAGAAACAAAGAAATCAAAATGAAGAAGCAGTATGGTGCAGAGAAATGGTACCTGTGAATTTGGGCGGAGTAAAAGAGAAAATGTTGGAAGAGGAAGCAGTGTATGGAGGTTGAAGTGTGGTAGTTGAGCTTTTGAACTATTTATAGATCAATGGAGAGGAGAGAGACGAGGGAGACCGGTGTGGGTGGGGGGCAGGGGAAGAGCGGCTCAGGTAAGTAAAATAGTGAGTCTGAAATGTTTGGTATAACGTACGAGTTCACACAAGAATTGTAAATGTCAACCCAGGTAGCAACGGGAGTGTCTGGTTCAGTATCGGTTGATTTTTCAATAGGTCCAGTTGAGCCTTTCCTTTTAGAATAGAATTAGGGGTGGAATAGACAAGTGTTAATTGACTTAAAAAAAAAAAAAGGAGTGTCTGCCTACTCGGACCCTCAATAGTTAGCAAAAATTACTTATTTTGACATTGTAGTATTTAGCGAGGTGATGTAGATAACGTAAAAAGATAATTAAAAATATAAAAAAATAATTAAAAAATATATTTATGACATAAATTCACGTGAGAATTGTAAGAACTTGGAGAGGAACCGTTGTCACGTCAATCATTCCTAAACAGTGTAACTCTCTTTGAACAATTTTGTAATTCTATGCTAGCTACTTATAAAATTTCAAAATAGACATGCAATTATTAGAAAATTATTTGGGTACCCCTTTTTTTCAAATAATATTTCGCTTGCATCATAAACACATTTTCTAATTCATATTTTTACATTTTCAATCACTTTTTTATCTCATATACATCACATCACAAAAAGTATTACAATAATTATTTCAAATAACACTATCGAAACAGAGGAATGATTGACCTGACAATCATTCCTGCCTCAAGTCCGTATTGTAAATGTCAATCCAAGTAGCGTAAGGAGTATTTGGATCCTCATTATTTAGAAAAAATTATTTATTTTGATACTATAATACTTTTGTGGGATGATATACATAAGATAAAAGATAATTGAAAAGACAAACAGGTGAATGGAAAATATATTTATGATATAAATCAAATAATTGTTTCAAATAATGGGTATCTAAATGTTTTGAAACTGGAATGGGTGACTGATACGGATAAGTCAATAGTTCAGGATTTTACCGGTTCAATGTCTTTCATTTATTTTAAAATTAAAAAAGAAAATCTGAAAACCATGTCTCCATAGCCAGTGACCACTCCTGCGCATAAATTGTTACAAATCCCAAATTGCTTTAAGAATAAGTCTTAAATCTAACAATATTGGACACATTAATCTTAAGTATTCTCTTCTAAGAAATCAAAAAACATATATACTCCTATATATTTAAGCACCCTGCAAAATTTTTCTTGAAAAGACAGAAAATTAAAATAGTAATTTTGTAAAAATTAATATGCTATAATTTCTTCCAAACACACAATAAAAGAAAACAAAAAGTTTTGCAATCCAATAAAAGAAAATCAAACCATCCCAAAAAAATACCAAAAAAAAAGTAGAAAGTGTACTTTAAACGAAAAGGGAAAAAAAGCAGCATACAAAAATCAAAGGAAAGAAGACTCCAAACCCAAAAAAAAAAAAAAGTACTTCGAAAGGTTGAAGTGAATAGGTGTAAGAAAACTTCAAGAAATTAAATTAAAGGATCAAAAAAGGGGTGGTGGTAGAAAAGAAGAGAAAGTGGATATCCGGGATCTATATATATATATATATATATATATATATATATATATATATATATATATATATATATATATATATATATATATATATGAAAGTAACTATTTTAATTAAAGTGTTTCTCACTCCAATGTAGCATGCTTAATTGAAGAGAATTAATGGGTTGTGGGTCATTTGGATTTTACCCATATTGAATATTATATTATATGTTAAAAAATTATCCCTAATTTTAAAATAAATTTAAAAAATAACTAATCTTATCTTAATGATGTCTAAAATAACTTTTAAAAATAACTAATGATATCTGCTTTCTGTCAAATTATTACATAGAACTATAGTCAAGCATTTTCAAATTACAATTATTTAAATCTTACATATTTTATAAATTACTTCCTCTCATCCCCATATTGTTGATTAGTAGTCAAATTATTTATCATCTCTTCCCTTAATTTTGAATTAATTTAGTGTAAAAAAGAGAATTAATTTTTACACAGACAGAATTACTAATATTATTGAAAACTAAATATTTATTGATGAAAAAAGGCGGATTGCTAGATCTTTTCTACTTAGTTAAATGTGAATATATAGTTCTAGGTTTATGGTCATTATAAAAATTTAAATTATCTAAAAGAATATTTAAAAAAAAAAGAATATCAACCAAGTTTTTGATATGGGATACATTATTTGATGTATACTATCGTATTATAGTAAAAATGTAAAGAAATTTTTAAAAATTAGTAAATAATTGAACATTTAGAATACATTAATTTTTTAAAGTTAATATTGTAACGACCCCACCTCCCCCTAAGGCGTACCAGAGGGTTCGGCGGGCCGCCTGCCCAACTCTCGCCGGGACTCAGTCGTTCGCTACAGTTCTCAATTAAAAATTGAAATAAATCACAAGAATAAATAGGGCATTGATCCAAACTTAAAGCGGAACTTATATACATTGCCAACCCAAAAGAGAATATAAACATCAAATATACAAGGGTTCTCAATCCTTCATACGTCCAGCCCGTGCCAAGCACTAAGCGAGAACCACTACAAAAGAAACAAAACTAGATTGGCTAGTCTATCTCAAGCTCACGTCCTCACTCGCCTTCCCCTGTAAGGAAAACAAAACTAAAGGAATGAGCTAAAAGCCCAGTGAGGTTCCGAACACATAATCAGATAATCAATCCAATACATTAAACATGGAGTATCAATAATTCAAGAAACATTTACAATGGAAAGCGATAGTAACACATTCATTAAAAGGATACGGCTCACAAGGAGCAATTCGTTATTTCGTTCATTCGTTCTCCTGACATTTCCCCTTATTCCTGCAATCATTTGAAAATGCATTTTTCGTTTATCAATAAACCCTCGTTCGTTCGTTCGTTCATTCATTCATTCATTCACCCCCGTCCTGGCCGTTGGCCAGTCTCCACCAACCTACAGAGTAATACTCGAGTATACCAAACGTTCACCCAAGTCCCTAATCGCCCGACCGAGTCCGCTTCTGGCTCGAGACGACCGGTAACAAGGGGCAATGGGCAGTTCAGCCCAAAAGGCTTACATTCATGCGCAAGTAACATTTCAATCATTAAATCCTTGAAAATTGCACAGTTATTTAGGTCGAGTGCGATAAAGTACACACTCGCCTAGAAAGCTCGTTTTGGAAATCATTAAAAGCAATTAACACATTAGCAAATGATAACAACAAGCCATAAAGTCAAATAAGGAACACTCACCTAGAAATGCAAAATATCCTTCCGGATATTACCCTTAATCACCAATGAAACCTAAGGTTGAACAAGAGAACATTATTATAGTTTATCGAGCAAAACATTTAAGGGAAACAAAGAAACCCGACTAATTAAGAGTAAAACGTGTAAAGATGACTTTCAAGTAAGAAGAGGGTTGTTTGAACCCAAGGATGAAAAATCATGTTTTAAAATGGAAAACCGGTCATGGTATTGGCCTAACAAAAGTATACAAGTTCAAATAGAAACCTAGACCTCGGGCGAAAATTTGGGCAGCACGCCCTTTGTGTTTACCTAATTTTCCAGTCATTTTGGCTTCATTATTTTTCCTCAACCACAACCCAACATCACACATAAGCAATTCAAGTCAAGAGCCGTTCCATAGGCTCACAATATCATAAGAATAAGAAATACAGTAATAACAAGTGCAGAAATTCAATTTAGCAAAAGACAGATTTGACGTATGAAAGCGGAAATAACTTATCTGAGGCTACGCTTATCGGATTAAGACGCAACCTATGCCGTTTCGAAGCTAAGACTCAGGGCTACAATTTTCATGAAGGTCACTTAGTCCAGTTTCTAATGTAACTTGGTCAAATTCTCGAATTACTAAACCGGAAACCAATTCGTCGGCTGTTTAAACGCAGAACACTGTAATGGACATAACTCAGAGTACACAAGTCCGAATCCGGTGTTTTTAGAGGCATTTGAAAGCTAATTCAGAATACTACAACTTTCATGTTTTGGCAAAAAGCTAAATCAGAATGGATCCTAGTCGAAAAACGTGATAAACTGGACTTAACTGATCACACCGACTGCTTGGGAAATACTTAAAACAGTAAGGGTATTTTGGATTTTTCACATCCTACGCTACTCCGATTGAGTTGAAATTTTGTAGACACCTATAAAATACCATTCTCTACAACTTTCCTTCTTTGACCTAAGGCCAATTCGGCCTCTAACATAGGGATTCAAATTCAGACAGAATGTTGGGAAAAAATTTCCAGATTCTGGAATTTTCGGTTTCTAGTGGAATTTTCTCAAATTTCTGGTTCTAATCACCACCAAACAACCTTATATAACCTTAATTGCAACATATATTAACCATACACCAAGTTGGGCAGCAATTCAGCAAACCCTAGTTCATAATACCACAAGGAAAACAACACCCAAGACATGCTAACAACCGTTATTCACCACAAATTTGAGTTGCTAAGCTAATTTGAACAAGATTAGGAGTAAAAATTGGGGAAATCATCATCCTTACCTTGCTTAGTGTCTTCCAAGAGCAACCCTAGCTTTCCCCTTCAAAAATTCACCAACACTTCACTAAACCAACACTCAAAGGCAACTTTAATCGGTTTACTTTCGTTGTTTTCTCACTTTGTAGCTCAAAATCAAGAAGAAGGATGGTGTTTTTTCTTGCTCTCTCTTTCCCTCTCTCTCAAGCTCGACCAGACCAGAAAGAAATGAAGGAAAGATAGCTGGAATGAAGGATAAAAAGGCAAGAAAAAAAAATTAATCAAGAAGCCATGAGGTGGTGACACTTGGCACCACCAAAGCCATGTAAATTTTTCTCTCTCTCCCTTGCATTTTTGGCCACAAATTTCGGTCAAAACTAGCTGGAAATAAGGAGATATTTTGCTCAAATATCAATGAGCTCATGTGGTAAGAAAGTGGTGGTCCAGTGGTGCGTTCAATCGGTAGTGCGCGGTACACGTCGGTTCGCGCTGTTTTTCCTTAAATCGCACGTACTAGGGTTTTTTTCTTCCCAATCACTAACTTTTTATCATTGCTACCAATCACATATTATTTCTCACCTAAAAGTCACTTTTAATCAACAAATTTGATCCTTGCTCC